GATGTTCATCTTCGTAACACTTGAGCTTTTTCCGTATCACAATCAAGCTTTACAGCTCTGGATGAAGCTTGCTCTACAGCTTGCATTTACAGCTCACTTCTCGAATGCTCACCTTTTCAAGTGATGGAGTTAACACGAGTTTTGCTCACAACCGTGTTGCAATCTGCCGAGAGCAGTGAGTGAGTGGTGCACTAATAATGTCATGTGTTCGTTCATATGTATAAGAGTAATGTTGAAAGAGGAAGAAATCATGCTGCATTGGTTGAGTGTATTTTGCTCTTGATATTTGCTCATATCGATTTGATTGCTCACGTTTGCGATTATTAGTAAGCGTTTTGGTGATTGAGACGTTTGTCATAGATATTTTCAGCAATGTTACTTAGATACATTGGTAATTCATGCCAAGTAATGTGTAAACACGCAGTACAGAAACGTTATTTGCATGCTGGAATCGTTGATACTTCAACGACACGCAATGGTACTGCTGCTTCTGTTATAGAACGACCGGTATTGCATAGCAACAATGTGTCATCATGTTCACGTACTTGTGTTCTATTGTTGCATCAAGGACAACCACGTACACTCTGCCATACGAAGCAGTTCCTCGCCAAGGGCGCCCAACGTTTTTACAAGTTTCCTCTCTACTTAACCTCGTATGTTCAGCTGTCATATCACGATGAGATTTCTATTCCATTGGCTAACGCAAATTCGGTTGTAAAATAATTTTCTGTTCAGTCTATTTATCGATGCAGTTTGGCCATTGTGTCAGAAGGCTCAATTCTGTGTGGCCGACTGCAAAGAATCAGAATCGCTGGATAATATTATGGAACGAATGACGACAACTCTTGAAGAGTGCCTCAATCATTTGTTGCCTGACTTGGGGTCATTTCATTGTTCCCATGCTTTTCTTCATGAAGAGCCATCAATAGACAACGTTATCAGGCAACGCATAGGGTACTCTCTACTATTACTTATTAAATAATAACCTTGATGGCTTCTCGGCGTACGATTCTAGAACTCTCATAAAAGTCTACAAAACATCTTTTTATGATTGGCCTTTAGCTTACTAGTTCTTCACAGCAGTGTGCAAAACTTACAAATGTAACACCTTCACTGGAATACTCTAGGTTTTAAATGAATCTAAGGCAAACGGTTCTGTCGATTTTTCGTCATTAAATACCATATGCATCAAAATGGATTGTTATTGACGAAATCGGTAAAATCATTGTATCAAAACAATAAAACATGCAGTAATTAAATTGATGCTGATACCTTTATTCACTAGAAAGATATTGTTAGATCTTTCTTTTTTTGCAGTGGAGGTTTGGAACACTTAATTCTGTTACCGATCTACGCTCATTATTCATGTTTTCGAACAGGTGAAATGCTGAATACAGCAATACATACCATCAATAGTCACACTTTTCCTTTAAATCAAGATGGTCAGCTTCTGCAAAATCGAAGAACCGTTCCTGCGACTGATGTTTCTTTTAAATGCTCGGCGATCGATCGATGGAGTGCCCATCCATTTTTAGCCAGTGCAAGTTTATTTTCACTGAAAATTCTATTAATTCCGTCCAAAAATTCAATCAGTACGTATGAGTTACGAATGATGTGCTGATAAATCAAATGATTTTTTGATTAGATAATGTTTTGAAAAAGGGTGATAGTATGCAGATGATATGTTTAGGTTTTGGTTTTAATTGTGAACCATTATGTATCATTTATATCGGATTGATACTTTTCACTCTTTCATTTTCATATTGTTCGAGACTCATTCACTGTTTCGTTGAATTTATACGTTTTGATTCCACCTGAATAAAATGTAGCTCTTTAAATGGTACCTCGATGCTTTTTTCAGTATTGGCATCAGCAAATTCGACGCAAAATTGACGATTTTGATAGTATACTTTTCGTTGCTCCACAGATGGTGAATTTTGTGTTTTGTTTAGCTTTCATTATCCTAGTTGTTACCTCATCCATCACTTCATATTGTTCACCGGTACGATCCAGAACATCAACTTTTTATGTGCATTGGAAAATACATTATTCATTTAAAAAATAATATTATTCTTTTAGTGCAGCTGTAATAGAACGATATTTAGATCGGAAATATGAAATTATTACATTTAAGAGTGTTTCTTGAATGCCTTTATTATTCATATAAATAGTAAGCATACTATTCAGCGAGGCTACGCATCAAAACAGTATTCGCGTGAGGTGTGGTCTACGTGTCAACGTGTTATGAATCAACTGGAAGATCGTTTAGCTTGGCGTACCGCATGGTTCGGTGCTTGGGATCAATGGCCTTCAAGTAATTTGTTCGAATCAATTCCTATGCAGTTATATTTACTGCGTAGAGATAATAAACAACACACTTTGGTTGTACCTATCACGTCCATATTCCCTGACTTCAACACTCAAGCATTACTTCCAAGAATTTTGCCTAAAGAAGTCAGTTTATTATTTCCATTCATTCTATAAGAAATTTATGTCTGAATAATTTGGTTTATACAATTTTTCTTTTTTCATGAAAATTTGAAGAAATGAACAATTAATCGTGAGTATATCAGTGTTGATCCTTTTGCTTTCCGTGTTCATATCGCAAACTGTCATTCTCTCTCTATGCATAACCGCTGAAGAGAGGGAATGTCAGTTTGTCTCTCTGACTTCTGATCGACGAATCGAAATAAAACGAACAGATTAATCAACTGTTAAAGAAGTTTGCTGCTAAGAATTCGTCAACATTATCAAAGGAGTCACCTCTTTGCGATCAGTCAAGGATTTTGAAAATATTATTGAACAATTATGAAAAACCATCAAGTAGTCGACGTCCTCAGTTTCCCTCTTGACACTCTCCAAGTCATCCCTGAGGGAATTTCCTCGTGTGAGAATCGCTGAATGGAGGGAATAAATACTGAAACCTAATCAGGCATCAGTAAATAAAACATTTTCCATTTCCAGGGAGTAGAATTCGTAAATCCAGCGAGTCACTCTCCAGTCATCATTCATGGTTTTGCTGAGATTGTCAAGAATCATTTGCTAGGTCGCCCCGCAAATGCACAGTTTTCAACACGTTGTTCAACTTGTTTCAATCCTTGGTGCCACCTAACAAGATCAGTATTGATGCCGACAAGAAGCGCTTCATCGGAAACTTCTAAAATGACCTCATTGTATAATGATTATTCAAGGGAAGTTGTTTGAAACTATCTGTCATCTGTAGTGGACGATGTTACAGATCCAGTTTAAGTACTCATATCTTTGTCTTCTTGTACTTTTATAATAGCCTATTTAAAATCAGTGGCTAATTAAGGCGCAATTGATTTGAGACTTAATTCGTTTCTCATTACAAAGACAATCGATTAAATGCCATTCAGAATCGATCAGGTGGATGTTTCGATTTTATTCACGTTGACTTCTTGCTGGCACAATGAACTTTTACAATCTGATTACCTTGATTCAGCACATAAGTATTAGCGAAAGTTGTTACGAATAAAAGATTGATTGTAATTAATTATCATGCCGAATGTTGTGTTAACGAGAAAGATGGTTCGTTAATTAGACGTTTACACCGATTGTTGTTAGGATGCCATTCAGTGCTTATTGTAAATATTATAGTTGGTGATTTTCGTTTATCATTTCAATGTCGTTGCTCATCATAGGAGTGCATTTTATTGAGTTTTTCTTTTGACAGAGTTTTTCATTTGTAAATAATAGTTTTCATAATTTCGACATTGTATGTACGGTATTGAGCCAGTGTAAACGACTGAATAAGAAATGAAAATATTCAAACTTCGAAGCGTACACTTGCATGTTCATATTTAAAGTGATTTCGTTCTAATGAATTATCTATGACAATATCGTCGATTCGATTGTGCAAGTGAAGCGCATTTCATTATGAAGTACGTATGTGTGGTGTTGGGAACCGCAAGATTTTTGGCGGTGGCTCTCGATCGAACGACTTGTCGATGGCCACATTTTGAGCATCGGTCGGTTTTAATCGATGGTAGCCGAAGCTTGATTTGCCGAGACCACTTATAGAACAGCCCTTTCGGTTGCGGTCGGAGGCTAGCGATTTTCGGTGGACTCTGACCCTACTCTACTTATGTAGTTGCACTGTTTTTGAGATGGCCATCTGCAGCACTATTATTGCTTCAAATTTTAGCTGGTTATTGTCGTTTGCGTATACACCGTTATCAGAGTCACTCATGCTTTCTTTGTTCTTCTCAGAATCATCAGTATCGAAAAATATTTCTTTGGATGTGAGTAGAAATCGAGTTCGAATTAATGATGTTCTATAATTCGACTGAATTGACGCAAAATGATGATTCAGAATCGTTCTACTTGACGCCGCACGCTTCATCGTTTTTCTTATATTGTCGAAGATAGCATTCAAAAAAATTGTTTTGCCTTTATCGGTTTTGCTTTGTAAAAAGTGAAGTGAACAAAGCGTTCCGCAGTTGTTCAAAGAGTGATTGGTGGAATGGATTCGAGTTGAAGCGTTTAGAGAGGTGGGCTATAGACCGAGTAATCGATGATTAAATATTTTTATTCAAAAGTTGATATTTATGAGGTAACAAAAATGCTGAGATATCATAAGTGATTGAGTGATGTGTGACGTCTGGTGATACTCTGCTGAGGGCTGAACTGACAAACTCATGTGGATGTAAAGACAAAGTTCATATGGATGACGTATGCCCAACCCTCTTTTGCAAACGACTCTATTCGAGACTTCAGATTCTTGGGAGCTGCACTCATCATTTCTGTCATTTGATATAGTTTTCAAACGGCCGAAATAAATATTGATGACGTTCGTTAGTACGTACAGCATTGACGAACTGAAGCAGCTCGTGGACGATATGGAGAGTGTAGTACTGATGATTTAGAAGTTTGATGAAATGAATGAATGTGATTTTGACGGAGTTAATCTGCGTGAATAGTCAGTTAAATTTTAGCAATGTGTAATGAGGGTTGTATTGCTAACGCAAAAAAAAGGAAGTAAGCTAGCAAAAATCAATGAGATGGGTAATGGAACGCAACGAAAAACGTAGGTCTTATGCTATAGCGGGAATAGTGGTATTCATTCGAAATAAAAAGTGAGCATAGCTGCGAGATTTTCAATCTTGGTTAAAGCCAAAACAATTTGAATCGTGTTGTTCATTTAATTTGTTCAGTTTTATTACATGATACTATTTATTTATTTGTGTATTGAGTATTTGTTCGATAATTTGATTATTTCTTATCTCATCGTTATTGATTATAATTTCATTATAACATCATCATCAATTTCGAACCGTTTTTTCATGGTTGCGCTCCTCTGCTAGAATGCTTTGTGGGTAACCTGCAGCAAACACCCATGTGCCCCGGGAAATTCGGGTGAATTTTACTCAGCTCCGTGTTGAAATGGAATTGCTCAGTGTTGAGCTTAACCTATGTTTATCTTTAGGCCTAGGTTTATTGGGAGTTGAAATGTGCCCGAATGCGTAAATGACTGGCATAATATTTAGCGCACACGTGATTAGTACAATATAAACGAAGTGCACATTGCTTGGCTGCGACTGCATGTGTCTTTTACACTTTGATTGCTGCAAATATTTCTTGTATGAAAGTTTCTTAAGGAGTTTATTCATGTTCTCTTCGATGTACCTCAATATGGTCAGTTGGATAGTTTGATTTGAGCAAAATTTACAATTTCGAGTCATTTATTGCTGTCGTTATCAGAATTTGCGTTCGTTGTGCATATTCTCTTTAAAGTTGAAATTGTCGTTCAAATCGTTTTTTGTCGAGGATTTAACCTCAGAAGAAATATCTTTTAGTTACTTTGAAATGATTTTGGATATTTTTGTTGTTATTAATGACATTGTTTGAAGCATGATCACTGTGTTTAATTGTACATTTTTTCAACCCCATATGTTTTCTTTATGATTCATCTTTTAGATATGAACAGCTTTTCATTAATTCTTGATCAAGTTTTATTGCAGTATATTTAAAAGCAGTTGCATTAATAAGTTATTTTCTCCTATTTCTTTTGACCTTACTTATTTGAAAGTGATCAAAAATATTGACAAAGGCCTACACCTAGAGAAGATACTGCGGTGTGAAGTAGGACGGGTTAAGACTTCTCCTGAGTGTCTATTAGCCTCTTAAAAAATATCCTCCGTTGTATCAAAAATTTCTCATTCCTCCTTATTATGTTCAAAGAAATGCGATTCCGTCTCATACATTTCACTCCATTTTTAGTGATGGTCATCCTCGTTTTTCAGGGTAGTAGGTCTGACCTTGACGCTCCTCCGACAGATTAATTCAGTCTCTACGAATTACACTGAGCAGGCGAATCAGACGTGATAACTCAACAAAGAAATAAGAACTGAATAACGTGTGAATTTTGGTCGATGAATATCCACGGATTGTAATGAGTTAATTAATGTTCTAATTATTTGAACAAGCTATCTGACTGCAATGCCAACAAATTAAGTAGGTATTTGTCTGTTTTAGTGTTTTATTCTTATAACTTCTGTGAATTGATGATAGGTGAATCCCAGTGCAGCAACTGTCTTTGGTTTCATGTTTCACATCTCATTTTTAATCACTGATCTTTTAATGTTGTTTATTTGGTTTATGAATCACGGTGTGTTCACACCTCATCCCCTCCCAGCAATACTTCCTTTTTTCAACTAATCACTAAGCTTTTAGTATCACTGTATTGGTTCAGTACGCTCAAAAATAGTCTTTTTTTAACGGTTCTGCTGCAAAGATGTTCTATATTTCGATTCATAAATTGCACAAGGCACAACCAGGACATCCGCCACAAATAACGTTTCGATGTTTAATTTGTTCGAATACTGTGAACAATTTAACAATTTATCCATTTGTTTAACAATTTATTCATTGACACTACCCAAGATTTCAAAATGTTTTTCCCTGCATCACCTAGTTAATTAAAGCTCAAGCAATCAATTATTTGTTTCTTTACTCCAGAAAAATTTTGCATTGGTTTCACCAGTTATTTGTTGTTGGGAAAACTGAAACAATATCTTGTTTCATGTGATTAGTAAAATTATCGTTCTTCAAAGTTAACAAACAAAATATGATTGACCGCTAATAAGTACATCAAATATCTATTCATCTAAACTATTTACGATTAGTTTTTAAAAAATTCCGCCACATTCATCATGTTTTTCGGTATTTATTTGTTCTTGAATATTTTTTTTTCCTGTTCAATCATTCGCCCATTCTCTTTTAATGTCACCTGTCATATGAGAACAGGTAATAAATATAAATTTTTCGGGCACCTATATTTCAGTTAAGTGTTTATAGGTAGTTTATTTAAAAACTGTTCAACAATATGAGAACAAAATAATTACAAAAATTTGACAGTAATGATGTTAAATAAATAGATAAATATGAGCATTTTCAAGTCCACTTAAGTAACATTTTTAAAGCTTTTTTTGCTTACAACAGGAGCTTTTCGATGTGTTTTGACGCCCGAAGATTGAACCAATTCTTTGTGATGTATAAATTCCAGAAGATGAAGTGATCGAAGAGAAGCCATCTAAAAATACCCAGCAGAAGTGTGTAATGTCAGCAGGTGGATCAATACGCGAGAGCGTGCGCAAATGTCGAAAGAAGATGCGAGCAAACTAGCGTTCAGAAGAGGACCTCCATTTCGGCGGCTCACATGAGCAGCCTTCGTGACAATTTCTGATGAATCATCACCTCCGGGGGTGCAGAGGAATTTTCAGTCTTTGCAGCAGATGCATTTGCGAAGAGGCATTCTTTGACTGGAATCGCCCACAGGAGTGAGGAATATTGAAGCCCCCACGGAAGTCGCCCACTCCATGCTTGTACCTTGAAGGATATAATTTGTTATTGTTTTTGGAGCATGGCAACGCAGACTGCTTCAAGCCATGAGTTGCAGGTTTTTCACTTTTATTTTCGTCAGAGGATGATGGAAAGTCATCGTAAGAGGACAAAAAATGTGACCTCTTTACGATCGCGATCTGTGGCTTGGATTGATCAGTGCAGCTCTGAATGAACTGAGAATGTTAATTGAATAGGCAAAGAAACAAACGCTCATCGTGAGGTTTACAAAATCAAATTGTCTTTTTTGTTGTCATTATTATTTTTGCAGTATTTTTTCTACTCTTTCTTCATCATTGCTGTCGTAGTTTTAATAAAGACATATAATCAGTGATGCCCAAGCTTGGAAGATTTAACTCAGCTCAGACTGCGAAATTCTGAAACTTCGACTCCAGCTCTAACTCCGGCTCCACCTTTTCATAAAATTTATACCCGACTGGAGCTCTAACTTCGCTCACGCATTTTTTAAAATTTCGGCATCGGCGTCAATCTCGAAGTTTTCTTCCCTCCGCCGCTCCGACCCTGGGAAACGTTCTACAAGCAAGCCTTAGCTTCAGCTGCCGAGTGCTGGTGCGTTTTTTTCGACTCTGGTACATGGGCATCTTTGCTTACAAAACACAAATGCAACGTGAATAAATCAGTTATGAGTTGGATCATGAATTACTGTTATTTCATTTGTTTGTGTTTTATGAGGCCACCGCCAGATACAAGAGAGCTGGGTCCACCACAACTTGTCATGATGATTCATGCCCCTGTGGGGAACGGGGTTTTATCCAAATTCTGAACAGCAGAACAAACGTATCGATAAATGGTGTCAGCCAAGAAGATATGCCTCGTCCTAGATGATGCCTCTTCTCGAATACTGAATAAAAAGAAAAATATAACCTAAGCATTTATAACTTCACATTCATTTCTTCACTGCTTCTGCTGTGCATAATAACACCGTTAATGCTGGCTTATCTTTGTTCAACATACTGACTCAAATTATTGATTGTGCTTACTGAAGCCTTCATTTATATTACGTAAAAATTTCATTCAATTTGGCTAACTGGAAAGAGGTGCCGGCAGTTTTCATTATTCAGAACCCACCAAGTGATACAAATACACGTTGGACCTTATTTGAAAAAAAAGTAATTCAAAAGTATTTGACAGTAATTCAAAAAATATTAGATTTCATACTGTCAGTGAATTAAAGAAGCATGTTCTTTGATATCATCTTCAACCCGTTAAGGACCAGCTTTTTTTCACGAATTTCCTCCTTAATTGTGATTCATTTGCATCCCTTTGCTAAGAAAACACACACGTTTAATTATTGACGATATATTTATTTTAAATAAAAAGCGGTCCTTAAATGAGGATCATTGTCCCTAACGGGTTCATTCAAAGTTGGCCATGAATAATATATGTATGCTTCAAAATGTTGGCGAGTATATTAAGAATTAGTACACAAAGAAAGTGATTGGTGAGGTTGTGAAGTAACATTAAGAACATAATTGGAAACAACTGAATCGAAAACCCGCTTGAATTTTGTTCATCTTGAAGCAGCGACATGAACAGCTGATTTGAAGTATTTATTTGAATATATCATTTTTATGTGATTGCTGCTGAATACTTGAGTACCAAGCTGAGAACGCTATTCGCTAGAAATTATATTCTGTTTAGCTTTAGCAGAGTGCTTCTCATTTATTGGCAACCTTATTCGCCGCATACGACGTCTTGATAAATCACTGAATCTATACGAAAGTAGTCTCTTATACTTCAGACAGCAACGAGTTACTTTCAAGCAAAACCATGCCGTGTATATAGGAGCGATTCCTGATGTANAATAAAGTAATTGATTGACAAGCTAAAGAGCGTTCAATGATCAACTGGTGATTAGTGTGTATCGTTATTCATCGTTCCATCCACCAAATGCCCTGCAGCTTCAGTGTTTGTGCTGTTACAAGCCTTGTGCGGTTGTAAGTAAGGCGAGTACTGGATATAAACAAGTGCAATATTTTCTAGATATACACCTATTTGATTGTTCAGTTTTGTGTAAACTAGCGTCCAATCTAATATTCTTCAATCCAGCGCAATGCAACCGTTCTCACGTACCGTTCCTGTACAAATGCCTTCATCAAGCAATCTCGATGAATTCTCTTCCAATTTGAATGCATCGTCACCTCGGTAATTGCATTTTTCGAATTACCACCATTTTTTACATGAATTTGTCATTATTGGTAGCTTTTTAGTGCTCTTTCATTTAGACAGCTTTAGTGTTCGATATTGATAGTTTTAGTGTTTGATTGTTGAATTTTTTGCACATTTTAACGTCATATGGTTTTATTTCCAATTTCGATTGTCTGTTTCAGTGGTTACTTCAGTACTGTTCTCGCTCTTAAGAAGTTCGATAATCATAAATGATATGTTGAAAATATTGTCGATTCCCATCTGTAATTACCCGAACGTTTGTCGTGAACGAACTTATTCCCTAGAACAGCAAAGATTTGAATCTAGCGCAGTACGTACTAGCTCGCGTCAATTGATTTCGCACATTACATGGTTTGAATGGATGATTCTCTTCATTAAATGTTCATTTTCTTCAAATTTTTGTAAACGGCCCAATTTCAAAAATTCGATGTTTTTGTTGTGCTCGACCCTCAGACTGATCATACTTCAAAAAGAATCAACTCTGGCTTGTTGTATTTCAGAACATCGTCAATCGAGTCTCTTTTCAGTGCTACTTTTCAATCGCTTAACACCTTCATTACTGTGATCTTCTTTTTTTTAAATCACTGCTATTTAGATCCATCAACATACCCTTCAAACATTGATCATTCAGTTTGATCAGGTGTTGAAAATCGATCACGATCATAAAGCACATGAAAAATATTTTATTGCTAGCAGTGCATTTTTCTTGTCTTTATTTTTTTGCTGTAAACTAAGTGCTTCATGAGAAAGTGATGTGTTGTTTATGTTAATATGAACGTTAAAACACAACGAAATGAAAAATTTCAATTCGAATCTTTCGAACATATTCCATTTCGTGTCTATTCCTTCATGGAATTCGTTTGAAATATATGTTCAAAAGCGTTTCAAATTATATATATTGCTAAACAATACACCTTCTCGTATCATAAAAGAAAAATAATTTTATTAAATACACGCTCTCACAATCGCTACCGATCGATCGCTCATATTCGATTTGAGAAAGTCGTATCGTAAATTCCCATCATATCATGTTCGCTACGTTTATTGTGTTCGATCATGTCAACGAACTGCTAAATTATACAGTTTCCCGAATGAATTTTACCACTGACGTGCTGTGAAACAATGGTTGATTGGAATGTGATTGAAGTTTCTTGAACTGAGAAGCCATTTGCAATTCCATAAGCTATTCATTTTTGTAAGTATACATATTTTCAAATTGTACGATTAGCTGAATTGAACTGAAGTGGCCGCAAATCCAAAAAATCAGTAAAACAAAATATGCTCGATTGCGTATCGGTAAAAACAATGACAATGCGCAATAATTTTAATGCATATTTCTATCTGACTGTCCAAAAATTTAAAATTTTCATTTCCAACACTCATACAATTTCTCACACGAATTAATCAGACAGATTCATTCGAAAGTGAATGCTAGAAAATTCAAAAGAAATCATAGATCTTCGCCAATGATCATTCGCATCAAATGATACATAAGTTTCTTTAATCACATCGAGAAGCACTAAAAATCGAGGGAATAGTTGGAAACATTACACCTGGAACCAGTGATAATATTTTCGATTGAAGAGGATACACTATAATAATAAGTAAGTGATTGTGTTACTGAATTGAAATGAATGAATGTTGTTGTGTGAACGAGCGAACTGATGAAATGTGTAAAGCATTAATTATGTTTTGTGATAGATGAATTATTGGAAGGAAAGTATCACATCATCGTTGGTGTTTGTATGTGTGCTGAATTTTGTGGGAATGAAAGCCAGCTGCTTTGAAGAATGTTGAAAAGAAATAAAAATTCGAATTGGAACGTAGTGGTGATGCTGAAGAAAATCAACTTAGTTCGCTTCTTCCCGATCGTTCATCCGTATCACATGCTGTTTTCCGAACTGAAATGTTTGCATGTGACGTCTTCAAAGTTTGCTTATCACCTCATATCAAGTCTAACTGATCAAAAATTATTTTATTTGCTTTTTTTCATTCATCAGCATTCATCATCGAATTTTATATATGATATGGCTTCACAAGTTGATACTTGAGAAGTGCACTGAATAACTGGTGAAAATGGTAGATTGAAAACATGATAATAATCAAGATAGTAGTGATGCTCATCCTAATGGCGATAATAATAATAAATAAGAATACGATGGCAGTATTAATAGTAAAATGATGGTGGTAACGATAACGATCATTTGATGACAATAATTATTCGACTGACGAGAACAATAAGAAGGATGATTATGATGCAAAGTTGTGATTGCTTCTAGGGATGTGCGCATAATGACGGCAACTAATGAAGCATTGAAGCAGCAAGGAATGATGGTTTCGCCGCCGCCAGTTCGAGCACATCGAGCCAACATCATACCACAAAGAAAAATGTCCTATTGGGTACCAAAAGGAAAAGGTTATTTTCGCAGTTATTCGAATTATTCATTCGGATAGTGTTATTTCGTTACTGTTCGTCGGTTTATCAGCATGTTTATCTACATCATTATGATTGATTCGCCTATCTGATTGCTTGCTGATAAGTATTGTGTTGATTTTATTTCAATTGATCCCTATCAATGATAGCATGACGTTACATTGCATTCTTATCACTTTTCAAAAAGTTCCCTTGTAAGTTCATCAATAAGTTCATCAATAAATTGATCTCTTTGTAAAATGGTCTGCAGAAAACAACTGCTTAATGCAAAAAGGTTTGTGTGCTTGATCAGAGTATTCCATCCATTAATGAATGATGCGTTTGTTATTTCGGACGTATGACATTATTAGCTGTTAAGCAAATGGAACTACTTCCTCGAAACTATGAACACCCAGTTAAGATGTGTTCAGTGAAAGAAACATCAATCTCTCTTAATAAGAATTGACCACCCATCATCAACACATCGAAATTCCACTCATTTCTATAGGGTTCTTTATGCGACCATTATATTTTTGCTCATCTGTTTAGTTGGCGTTGTTTACATGCCATGACACGCTGTTGTTTACTGAATCGTTCACATTGGAAACTTCAACTGTTGCTTGATGATAACTGATTGCAGTTGTGACATTAAGCTTTTAATTCATTAAATATGTTCAGTGGAATTACTTGACTATTCTTTCGAGGACAGTAAATTGTTGAGAGGTAAATGATGCTCGATCGATTCGTGATAATGTGTTTTCCCAAATAAAAATGAATTTTACAAATATCTTCTCAGGATGCTAATGTTAATGTTCTGTATAAGTGAGCAACACCAAAGAGTGGTATTGTCACGTCTCACCTCTTCTCGTCTCACAAATATTTCAAGCGTTTCGCATCCAAGTTCACTGTATTTATTGCATTGAGACTACAGTGTGAAATCGTATATTGTTGGCTGTCATTTTTGGTTATTCACTGCAAAGCTTTCAATGGGTATTTGTTCGATGCATTAAAGCTACACTTACGAGCACTCGAAGGCCAAGCAAAATTAGAAGAGAATGTATCCTTTCCGTTAGGAAAGTTTTTTTTCATTTCCAAAATGACGAACATAAATAAAAAATTTAACCTTTGTTTAATAGCAGAAGAGAGAACGACAAAAAAAAAACAAATCAAATGGTGATACAGTGACGACTGTTACTAAACGATACTATCCAGTTACCCTCAGGCTTGGTAATTAAACCATTCATATAAATAATAATATAAATCACGATGAAGAGTCATCAATACGAACAGTATTGACAACTCAGCAATTGTAAAATTTTGCTTTTATACTGATTTATTCCTCATCGGCATCTGCACCACCCATTAATCATAATTCTCTGAAGTTGGAAGTGATAAAATTCTGTCAATCACTTTTATCTTATCAAACCATTCCTCTAAACATTTTCGCAGTGATCCTCTGCATGATAGGTCGCTGTCCTAGATCATGCGTAAACAACATGTTGTTAGTCGCCCATCACATAAACAATTTCCTGTCAATCATATTCTTATTAATAAAATCTAAACGTCATTTTAAAGCATTCAAGAACTCTTTACCAGTCGTGATGAATAGAGAAGAACAATGCGATTGAAATGGAAAGCGCAAAATTACAATACTACATAACAGCTGAACTACAAGCAACGACAGAGAAAAATTTATCGGGGGACCATTTATTGTTTGTTGTTAACGACTCGCATCTTTGTCCTTCTTTACTTCTTCGTTCAATTTCTTGCGTAGTTGTGTTGAACTCATTATTTCCATGGCTTGATCCAGTTCAGAGGTTCGACCTGTTAGCTTATACGCCAGAGCAATAAACTCCTTTAGTGTCTTCGATGTCACATAAAGCTTGACCAAGTAATGTGTTATTGTATGGTGATGGTATAATATTTACACTAAAAGGCGCACTTTCAACTAGATGTTGGGTGGGTGGCTCACGTGTTGACGAGGTTAATGTCGTATGGTTGTTTGAACTTTGGTCAGTGCGATGATCTGTATTGCAGTTACATATTTGACATCATGCATTGATGGTCTTCTGATTGTTTGTTTTTGTGCTCGATTCGTAGTTATGAGATAACGAGCAATATATATAAATATATAAATATATAAAT